AATAATGGGTATGACCTCCTCGTGCGCGTATTACCTCATTCATGCGACGAGGTATACTCCTTATTAATGTTCTAATTTCAGACTGCGTAATGTCATTCCACTCTATTTCAAGAACTCTTCGAAGTTCTGGCAATGACTGAGGAGCAGGTATATGATTTCGTACTTTTCTGTTAATATTGTCCCATAGGTGTTCAATGGGATTTAAATCTGGACTCATTGCTGGCCATTCGAGTCGATTTATGCCAACTTCATCGCAGAAATCAAGCACTTTTCTCGCAATGTGCGGTCGAGCATAAACAAAAAGTCAGGGCGGAGAAATCACAAAAGATCTGCAGACATCTCCTTCGGATGCAAAACAATTGATTGAAAAATAATGGTTCGAGTTTGCGACGGTGCACGGTATAAACAAAAAATTGTAGCTTATTGGGATCAAAAGCGTACGAAAGTACAGAGTTTCCTCTTTTAAAATGCTTTTTTATGCATCTCGATACGATGATTTTTCGCTGAGAGATTCGCATTTGAAGTAAGAATCTGCCTTTTTCTTCAAATGCGAATCTCTCGGCGAAAAATCATCGTATCGAGATGCATAAAAAAGCATTTTAAAGAGGAGACTCTGTACTTTCGTACGCTTTTGATCCCAATAAGCTACAATTTTTTGTTTATACCGTGCACCGTCGCAAACTCGAACCATTATTTTTCAATTTTGCATGCTCGCGCTTTGTCATCCGCCATTTTCAATAAATTTATTTTGCAACATTGAAATAAATTGATTCTTAAAGTAGAGATTTTTAGCTTCATTTCCATATTTTATAGAACTTTCTATCTTTATTATTTACGAAGTTATCGTCAGTTGAAATTTGATGAATTTTTCCCACATTTTCAGTGTACCGCTTTTTTTTCGGGTGAGTGTATATAATTCAATAGATTTTGGCTTCATTGAATTACATGAAGGTTTGCAGTCTATAATCCACACCCCCAATTACTTTTGGTCGGTAAAATCGTTGTTGAACTTATCGATTCAACCGAGTGCGAATAAACGAGCTGAAGTAGTGTAAAGTTGTAAATGGTTACCCCTTCTTACTGGACAAATTTATTGCCCCGCCCAATACAAGTGACCTAACGCTATTCAAACATTCCGATGTACGGGCGGAGGATGCTTACATAGTTGGACTTTTTCTATATATTGTTTTCTAAAACGCTGTTATTTTAACAAGTGGACTTAGAATATCGACAACGTGACACACAGAGAAAAAGAGGGAAACATCTTTAAGGTGTGTACAAGCCTCACGTTGCACGTGCGTCGTATTTTTTGTTAAGATTCGTGTATTTTTCGTGTATAATTCATCTATTTCGGTGACTATGTACCTCCGGACACTTGTATAGAGTAGTAACAATAGCAATAGCGCTCGTCAGCTGTAAAATTGTATACGTCTTCTATGCGTGTATGATATTGCACGCCACGCCTATAAACATGCGATGTCGAGCGGCTTTCTTCCTCATTGCATTGAATGGGCTTTCCTGTTTTCAGAGTGTGAGCAAGAGTGTTAACATTCTGACATGTCCATTCTAGACGAGCGCAACGAGTACCTGAATAATCCGTACCTTGACGACCACGGATTCGAGTACGGCGACTTCACGACATTCTATGTCACAGTGGCCATCTGTGCCATCTTTGGTGGGATTCTGTTTATTCTGAACATTGCGTTCTGTTGGTGTTCACGGCACCGGGAGTATTGGCAGAATCGTCATACCGGTAAGTTGAAAAATTCTCTTGTCTCTACTTTCAGAGTTTTTACATCTTACATATTCTATTTCTACATGCAATTGCAACTGACAAACTTTTTCTGCAATAACATTATTATTTTGATTAAGGCAATAGATGGATCCAACCTTTGTGGACTGTGTTACCGCACAAAACGCCACCGCTTGATCTCAGCGAATTGGAGGCTGGTCATATCCCATATTCTCAAGTGAGGCAAGAGCAGTCTCCGAGTGTTGTACCGCAAGCGCAGGAGTATCTGGAGATGCAGAAGCGCGAGAGTGAGATCTGAAATAGCTGACAACGTCCATTTCGTGATCAGTGTGTTATAGGAAAACAGTAGTAGCACTCATACTTGACATATATACATATATCTGAAGCCAAAACGTTAATTGAGTCCAATTAACCAATAAAGTCCAATTAACCCTTTGCACTCAACTATTGTGCCGTGAAGCCTTTGCGTCAGCTGCTACTTGTTGGACTTTCCACTACAGATTATCTCCACAAGCACTATTGTCTTGCTTATATTAAGAATATTATTTTTTTTAGTTTTTCACAAGATAATTTATCATTGGAAAATTGACTATTGAGATAGTGATCCACAGACAAGTTATTTTAATAATTGCATTTGACATTAGTTGCAAGCAAGTTGACTAGTAATCTCGGACAGTATAGATAAAATCTCTTGCAATGGGTTTACACGTTTTCTGGCCTGCCACAGCCTGCCTAACCCTCTTTGTGGTTTGCGTCATAATTTTATTGCTGAAATATGGCGCACGTGCCTGCAAATTGCGACACGAACCACTACCATCTGATGAAGAATGGGAGGGTAAAGCGTACACCAGAAAACTGTCTGTTTCTGTCTAGCATGAGAATGAACATTGATCTGAAAAAATTACCTTAGATTAAGTAATGTTTTTATCACAGATAAGAATATTGATTAGAATTTTTTGCGATAGGCCGGAGACTCAAAGAAATAACTTCCAAATTTGCTTCGAATTTTTTTTTATAAAAATGAAAGTTAAAAACTAGAAGCTTTTCGGTAACTTGATATTTTCTAAACACGCAAATCTCGTATATTATTGCATAAACTTAGTATTAGTCATAAGATAAATGATCTATTCCGTCCATTTGCTGCATACGTACTACTATGTTTTTTTATTAACATGAATGCATACATGTTTCTTCGGAAATCAATATGCAATAATTGTTTAAAAAATTCTTATGAAATCTCAAACTAGCAATAAGATGTCGAAAGAAAACCAATTTTATATCCGTCCATCTCTTTTGAGATTATTTGATATGCTCTTATTCGAAACGATTTTTTAATAATATTGACAATCAAACGCAATTTTGTAATTTTTGTATACATTAGTAATACATTTTACAAATGAAACAAGTGTTATAATTTTTTCCACCTCACTTGATAAAATTGATATTCCAATGTCGATCAACGCAATTCTAATAAAATATGCAATACAATATTCCGTGGAATATCCAAATTCTTGTATATATAATATTTTACTTTTATTGACAACGTTGGATTTTTGTTACATGTGTGTAGTGGTTGCACAATTACTTTAATAAGTAATAAGTAGATACATTATACAATTTTTTATAGGAGTAAAGAAAAAAGTCATCGAGTTCATCGAGCTACGATACATCAAATTCAGAAATGTCTTACATTACGTGGCCATCCGAGTGACCAAATAATGTCACTAATGGGATAACCGCGCGATCGGCGATTTAAACAAATACTTTCAACAATGAATTTTATCTAATCGTTAGAAAAAGCAATTGCAATCCGTATAACAAATTGGCGTTTTTAAAAAATATGCAATCACATTTGTTTAATCTCACGTGAACAGAATATGTAGAAAATTGTTTACGATTTGTCGTACCAACAAAACAGCCAAAAGAAAATTGCACGAATGAGATTAAACCATCAATAAGATTGACGCTCGTAAAACTTAACGATTCGCAGCAGAACGACGATTCAAGTGTGTACTCTAATTGTCCTCTAACGAATAAAATTTCGAACAATTCTCTTATTATAATATCTAGAATATCTACGGATTGTTCCGAAAAAATGTGCACATAGGTAGTAAAAGATTATCCTAGAAGAAATTTAGAAAAAGATTTTCCTTCACGAGATTTCAAGTACGTGATTGAGAATTAAAGCTGGATAATTAAACATGAATTGTTTCCCGATGATCTTGAAATTCGAAACGCGGATGCGCGCAATTTAACATTCACAGCTTTCTTCAAGTAAAATCATTATCGAGAGAAATCTATTTCGAAATTTCTCCGAGAACGAAGCGTTCGCTATGACACGCACTTTTCTTGGAACGTTCTATGTAATAATTGAAAGATCTGCAAAATTAGTCTCTAGGTTTACTGATGTACCTTCTATCATGCTATGTGTTACTATGCGATTAAAACATGGAGAGCTTTTTGCCAACTCCACACAGAAGTCAAGCACGTTGCACATTGTGCTCGTTACATCTGTCGTACACTGAGAGATAATCGCATCCCCGCACGTTTAAACACTTCAGGATTGCGCGAAATCCCGCAAAAACCGAAAAAAAAAACTTTCGCATTTCGTAGAAACAGTAAGTGATCCCACATTTCCGAAATGGTTTTAGATACCAAAGGACTCCTTCGGGCAGAACTTTGCAAATAATTTTGCATCGCAGATCGCGCATGTAACTAGCACTCATTGCAACATAGATGCAACGTTCGTTAGAGACGTTTAATACCTTCAACCGGCGATACGAGTCCACTTCCGGTTTCGTCATTCTAAAATACAAACGGTCGCTTATGAAATCGCAGCTTTGCGAAATTTAGTGTCGATTTCAAGCGGGAATTCACGCCCGGTAGAATTCAATTTACTAGTTGAAGGATTATATAAGGACAGACAATACTGGCCTGCAAAATTAGACATTCTTTTTGTTCTTTGGAAAATAAGAGTAAGTTTTCCTATTTTTTTGTGCGCTAAATTCGAATCCTCAAAAAGGGCGAATTATAACAAAATTTTGAGAATACGTAAAAAAATATGCCAAAAATAACAATTTTAGCTACATTTACAATGTAGTTACTCCGAAAAGAAGGAAATTTTTTCTTCAGTAACTATTACACCATCCTAAAAAATACCAATTTTTCTCTTTGAGATATATAACTAAAATTTAAAGATATAAATTAACGCGCTTCTCTTCTCGATGAATGTTGTTTGAAAATTTTACACAGGAAAAGCAAGAAAAGGCAAAAGGAAAATTATATTTTGAGACAGCTTAAGTAAAATTAAATTATACGAAAAAAGAGATAAAGTTTGTTTTCGGAGTAGCATTGTACCTGTGTGGAAAAATCGTCATTTTTCATACATATTCCTTGGATTTTCTCAAAATTCTAATGTGACGCGCATTTTTTAAAGCTGGATTCGGATTCAGTATATAACGAATTATGGAAATGTACTCTTTTTCTCCAAATTATAAATCCTTGCAGGGCAGTGTAATTAGAGAAGAGCCCACAGAATAGAGATAACGCTATATCTTAGTTTATCTTATTTCGATAGATTCACTTAACGCGTAATGATGATATGCTGTAATATGGGAGCTAGAACTAGACGCTTGGCGATGACGCGTGCACGATTCCGCGAGTACGGCTGTATATATTCAGAAATTAACTCATTCAAAAAACAGCTCATAAGATTAATTCATTCATTAATAGAAAATTTAATTTTAGATTGAAAATTTGTGAAAAAAATTAGCGTTCACAAATTGATTCCTACAAAAATCTCATTAAAGTCTCTGAAGTCTCTGGAAGAGCTTGGAAAATCGCTGACTTGTTTTCACAATTCAAGACTCTGTCGCGTGGAGATTCTAGATGAGGAAATGCCTTCGAAATATTATTAGATATCATAAAAATATGCTCTCCTCGCGACATGTCGACTATTGTACTTTTTGAGACGTGTCGCGTGCATACGGGTCGCATACGCGTGCACTACCAAACGCGCAAACAGCTTAACTTGTTCTTTCACCGACGAGCGCGTCCTGTATACATCTAGATTTAAAAACAAATACAATCTTGTACGCAGGGAGGAGGGATTTGATTTTTCGCGGCGTCGAAAAGATATCCAATGATCTTTCTCTCTTTATCTCTCAATCGCAATCTCTCTCTCTCACACACACACGCGCACGCACGCACGCACGCGCGCGCGCGCTCACACACACACACACACACACACACACACACACACACACACACACTCTCTCTCTCTCTCTCTTTCTCGCACGCGCAAGCACGTGCATACTTGACGAGACAACGAAACGACGAGTTTTTAGTTTGATTTTCATGCTCATTGGCTTGCGAGTTTCCATATTGCCAGTTATCATGTGATACATTATTATAACGTTATTTGCAAATATATCAACATCGGAAATAATGACGTCCTGTCGAGAGGGGAAAAGCGCGGAAGATTCCGGGAAAATTCATTAGGCTCGTGCGAACATTCTACGCGTTTCCGCGTTTTATTTCATCTTTAATTCTCTCGGCGAAATAAATGTTTTGATGTGGCTCTCTTTTGTTCGTTATTTTGATTTCGGAATTTTGATTCGCCGTAACCGTTTAAACCGTTTAAACGGGCAGCTGTTTGGCTTATTGTTAGCTATTCGCATCATCGAATCCTCATTTCGAATCGGTGAATCTTCGCGGCGTAACAATTACCGGAATATCTCGCGCATATTATATGACACAGGACACAGTTACTTTGAACACCGAACACTGTATATTTATGTGACAATCGAATGAAAGCTGTTTAGTATGACAAATATTGTACATTATTTTAACTGGGTCAACAACGAAGCCAAAGACGGGCCACCGCTGCGTTCCTTGCGACAAACAATAATAATATTAATAATATTTTATAATAATAATCGCTGTATGGGAAGACGAGAGAACAGCTTTGGCAGATGAATCTTATCTTCTGCGAGCCTTTGAAATGATGGCTGTTTCTAGTCGGGGAATTCTACGGTGTACTACGTTTATCAATCGAGCAGCCAATGGTGCAGATTTTGCAAGAACTAACGCTCGAGTTTTCATCGGAAAGATGTTTAGATTTCTCAATTGAAGGTTATAAGAAAATATCTCACATCGATAAGAGAGGATTTCAGGATTTGTGCACCGCGCGAATCAATTGCAACAAACTGCAACACTGTTCAACACGCATCAACAGCCGTGTCATCGAGTTTTCGTCATCGTCTCGAACCTGTTACATATCGGTTCCTGATCGATTTTGTGTGGTTTAACCCTCTCAAGATCTCGCCGACGTCCATTTTTAGAAAAGCTTTACGCGATCAATAACTTCTCTACGACAGAAACTTGCTGCAAATTGTGTCAGTGGGTTAGACAGAAGGATTTCTTCCACGCGTTGTGTGTATGTATGTGATTCTGAAACAAATATGACATTTTCTATAAACTGCCACAGCAAGAAAAATAGTACATTGCAATCCTGGGAGGGTTAATAACCTCCAAGTTACCCCCGAGAACGGAAATGATCATCGAGGCCGAGTGCATACCGTCTCGAATTATTTAATTAACAGTAATTAAGCTGTATAATTAACCGACGATAGCGCACGCGTAAAAGCGGTTGTAATAGCGCAGCGCACGTCGCTGCATCTGAGATGCATGATTCCTAAGCAATACGTGTGATGAACGCTTCAGCGATCAGCGATACAGCGATACAGCGTTGCCGTCGAAATTTGCGCCCTGCCTCGCAATCAATTCCAATTGCCAATAATTAACCAATTGGCAATTGGACCAAGGAATGGACAAAAGATAAGAATCGGTGTACGATGAGAGTGCGCGCTTTCGTTGCCCAATTAAACAAGATGATTGGAGATTGGCGGATGATTACTGCTTGCTTGATTTCTTGTTCGACCGTTCACCTGAAAAGAAAAAATCGGGTCGTTTGAATTTAGTGACTTTGAAATGTCATTTTTATGCATTTTCTAGAGACAAATACTGCATTTTACGAAACTCCTATAGGTGGAAAGTAATGGACAATTGATCCAAATGACACATACATAACACTCGAGAAGAATAAATTCAGTTGAGAATAAACCAAAATTACCTTTGGTGGACTTTTTGGTATTGGTCTCCGGTTTACATTTTTTGTTGAGTTTTCGCGTCTTGTCGCAGGTTGGATCGCTGTTAGCTTTCAGATTATCGATTCTCGACATTGATTGATTCACACATCCGCTCCATGTGCCCTTCTCGTATCGACATGCTACGATCAACGTCAATCGATTAAGAAACGTGCTTCCGTCCCGACAATGCGTCCGGTATTATATTCTTCAATATAATCGTGGCTCACCTTTCTTGCACTTCTTCTGTATAGTCTTGGTCTGCTCGCAGGACTTGTCGCCCTTCTTGAGACTTAAAGTACGCGTCCGCATGTTGGTGTTGGAGTCGCATTCCGACCATTGACCCTTCACATATCTGCATGACGAGGAGCTGCCGGATGCTGCGTCAGTAGACGCGAAACGTCAATAGAAACAATTGGACGTAACGTCAGTCAAACGAATAGAGAGAAACTTTTAAGGGCGATGTAAGAATTTCATTAATTACGCCCGTCTATGTACGCGTGCTGTACAAAGTATTCTAAAAATTTATAAATCAAAATGTTAGAACGGACACATTTTCAACAACCCAAGTATTAGATGAAAATCGATTCGAAATTTTAAATGTTTAAATGTATTTCTTATTTCATACCAAAACATCAAATAGATTTGGATTGTGCAAAAAGTTCCTATATAAATTAATATAATTTTAACGTTTTAATTAAAAGGTAAAAAATTT